TAAGCTTCAGAAAGAGAAAGGAGGGGTAGAGGGGTCTGTCTGCAAGCTGTAAGCTTCAGAAAGAGAAAGGAAGGGGCTGGGTCTGTCTGCAAGCTGTAAGCTTCAGAAAGAGAAAGGAGGGGTAGAGGGGTCTGTCTGCAAGCTGTGAGCGTCAGAAAGAGAAAGGAGGGGGCTGGGTCTGACTGCAAGCTGTGAGCTTCATAAAGAGAAAAGGGAGGTGGGGTCTGTCTGCAAGCTGTGAGCTTCAGTGAGGCAGATACCAGAGTGAAAGGTATGGATTGTTTATTTAAAATAATCAAGCGTGACCCGAACCGAGCTGACCCGAACCAAACATACCCGATGGCCTGTCCGCCCCCGGGCGCTGATTGGCTCAGTAACCATAGCATCAGTCTGTCTGCTCTCTTTCGCTGTGCTCTTTTAGAGTGTTTAGAGAATTTAGAACATTAAGAACATTGCAAAAGTGTGGGGAGGGTTTATAAAGACTTAAAATATATAGAAATACTAAAATAAATATAACGTGTCTACTTTGCGGTTTTTCACCTATCGGGGTGGTGTGTGGAACGTATCCCTCGCCATAATCCAGGGACTACTGTACATGAATTAAATTGATGAAACAGTGACGAAAGGTATTCATCTGTGGCAAAACAAGGTTAGTTATTAGTTATGCACCGAATCTAAAAGGTGTATTATTCTAAGGTAAGTCTTGTGGCATAATAAAACTAAAACATCTGTACAAACTACAACAATAATTTTATATTAAGTGTAAATTTATAGATAATGGTGCTTGAAATGGTCACAAATTAAGGATCATACATAAACACCAGTGAAGTTCAGGCTCAGTCTCTCAGGATGAGAGAGACTGGTAGTATTACGTTATTAATGATGGTGGGTGTCGGTTCTGCTAACGGGGCAAGGCGCCCTCCTTGGATAATTATAGGGGAAACACTGCATGTGGGTAAACAACGTTTTTTTTTTTAATGTGACAAATGTATGAAAAACCAAGAGAAATTTAACGTGGTTGCACTGTAACATAACCGTGGCTGCTCTTGTCTTTCTTTTCATCACGGCCCTGTTGTACTCAGCTCTATAAAGCCGAGGGTCAGTTTAGGCCACATAGTTTAATAATCTTCCAGCTTCACGTCGCAGCCCGAGGTGGAGTAATGTTGGAGTACCTTGACACAGAAGGGCAAACGGTTTTCCTTGAAGGCGTAGAAGTTAAGAACTAACTGCTGACCAGCTTTGATCAGAGGAGTCAAGTTTCCATAGCAGTCCACATAGATGGGCCTTCCCTCCAAAACCTAAAACAAACATTAATAATAAAAAAAAAAAGTACTAAAGCTGCACTTTTCAAACTTTTTTTTGGGAATATGCTGAACTTTGACCAGGCTAGTTAAAAAACAACATATACTATTAAAATTACACAGTAGATGATGCTGAGTTATCACATTAGTTTCTACATTAGTATTGTTTTTTTTTTTTTTTTTTTTAGTAAAAACTCATTAGTAGCACTGAAAAAGTGCAAATTAATAAAATAGAACACATTTTAATATTGTATGAAATATGTTTTAAATAGAGTAAAAGTATACCTCTATGTCTTTGCTCCTTGCCACCTCCTCAAAGTTCTCCTGCTGCTCCAGGGTTTTGTCCACCTTGTCGTCCGTCATGCAGAAACACCTCAAACTGGATTCCACTGGGTCGTTCATCTTGGCGAACACAACAAACTTGGCCATGTAGGGCACACAGATGAGCTCCCTGTAGAGCTGCGTGGCCAGGCCCACCGTCTCTGGGGTCTGGTTACAGTCTGCTAACCAGAACCTGGACCAGAAACGAACAAATACGCTTATTTCAGACACAGGAACAAGTCGAGTGAAATGTGTGAATATAAAAAGACGCTGAAGCACTCGTGTCTCACCTGGCAGAGACATTAGTGGTAAAAGAGACACAGTCGTTGACAAATGTGAGAGGAGTTGTGCCAGTGATGTCCTCCCACTGGGCAGGTGATGTACCACCTAACAGACAAATCACATTTCTTGTTGTTCATTTTTCATAATCTAACCTTCATGGAAAAAACCATGGCGTGACAACTTTCATATAAAACAAGGAACCTGGATGAGAGTCTGCTCCAATTTAAGTTGTTTAAGTTCAGTTGTTTTGTTTTTTCCTGATACACAAAATAATTTAATTAGACATACTGTACTTTGAAAACATAAAATATTCACATTTCTGACTGTTACTGATTTCAGGGTTCCTTTGGTCTGGTATTTTTGCGTTCTTTAGTTTGAACCCAGAATAAACTTCAACATGAACATTAGGAGAACACAAATTCATTAACTCAACCTTTATTTATACAGATAAATCACATTGAGCATCTAAGACTCATTTACAAGTGAGACCTGTTTAGACTGACAAAAAGTAATGAAAGTGACATGTACAGGATTTGGAGGCAAAAAAAACCCCACCCTATCAAACTCTCACTCCTTGGCCGAGGAGAAAGACCCTGGTATTGAAAAAAACACCCCGCACATAGGCACATCATGATGTAGACATTCTGCAGGGGAGGAGAGACGACAAGAGCGGTGATTGTGTCAAGGACAATCCAGAGGCACTGTAAGAGTTCTGATAAGAATGGTACCATCAGTCAGTTCCTTCTGGTGAGATCCCTAAACACTTTCGTGCCGAGGTCGACCTGGAACAGCGCCAGAGAAAATCCGAAGTCCTGAAATGATGATGATGTTTATTCAGCCGGGTCCCTCTGATAGGTCTGCAGACTTCCTCGGTGGGAGGGGACGGGAGGAGGGAGAACGCCAATTTACAAGGCCTCCAGGAGAATTGAGGTAAAGTAGTCAGTCAAGGCCAGCTGGAGAGCCAAATTCAGATAAGCAACAATTGTTCTGGGAACAGGCAGAACTTTACCGATCCATGTCTGCCTCGAGTCTTTGCTGGTCCTCTCGAATCCCAAAGTGGACAGACGCAGGCAGCCTGACCAGGGCCAAACTTGCTTCCGACGACTTCCTTGTATGATGATAGACCAGGAACCAGCCGAATCCAAAAAGCAGGAAATCAGTTATCAAAAATCCAATTGTATATATATTTTTTTCATTTAGCCTTTATTTATACAGGTAGTCTCATTGAGCCATGAGAACTCATTTTCAAGAGAGACCTGTTTAGGGAGCAGATGGTGGAGGTTAAGGGCCTTGCTCAGGGGCCCAGAGTTGGGTGAATGAGGGTGGAGGCAGGTGTGGGTGCTTCACCTTTTTCACCAACATTTTGATGTTGACGGTACCGGGAGTTGAACCTACGACTTTCCGATCACAGGCTCATCTTCTCTAACCTCTGCACCACCACTCCCCATATATAGCATCCTTGGTGCTCGTCTTCTTGTTGAGAAAAGTCGGCTCACCTGAAGCTCGTCTTCTCGTCAAAATTTATTTTATCAATTGCGTTGAGAGACCAACTGACCAGATCCATAGCAAAAAAATGTATGGTTTGGAAGATGTAGAGAGAGCCTCTGAAGAAGTTTCACAGACAGGACAGAAAAAAACAAAGTGGAGGAGGGAGAGGAGAGGGAAAGCGTCCGCCCTTGACAAGAGCAAGTGATGAAGTGCAATAAGACAATAGAACAATAGACAATCATAAAAGAAAGCATATAAATTGAGAAGAACAAATGAAAGAAAAGGGTATAATAAAGATATCCTGATACATGCTCAATAATCCAGGTAGAAAATATAATAATAAATATAGTAATAGTATAAAGTATAGTATAGTAGTAGTAGTAGTATAATAAATAGTATAATAAAGACTAAACAAAAACAAAAAAAAACTGCTGTCCACAATGAGCCTGTTTTGTGAATATCATAATTTCTGGACTATAAGCTGCTTCTTTCTTCACACAGTTTAAACCCTGTGGGTTGTACAATGCTGCGGTTAATTTATGGATTATTTTTCTCTTTTTCCATGCAAACAAGCTTTATGCCGCCAAAACATTTAGCCTGACTCCATCAGACTACCTGTATAAATAAATGTTAAAATAAAAAAATTGGACCAATTAAATTACCAAACAGGTCACAGTGGACCAATGAAACGGGGAGGGGAGGCGAGGACAGGAGGGGGGGTTCCTCTGCATGCGCAGAGCAACTTTTGCTCAAGTCTGCCGGTGGATCCTGACAGCCGCACAAGAGGAAGATGGATAGCGATCAATGACTTCCTGGTAGGCTACTGTATTTTATTTTATGTTTTAACCACCTGTGTTACAGGCGCGGTTCAGAAAAAAAAACACATTTATTGTACATATTTGTGTGTTACCGGTACGTATGTAATTAAAAGTAAAAAATTTATATTTCTGTGTAAATATCTCATGTTACAACATGGACACCCACAGCTTATAAACAAGCGTGGCTTATATATGTACAAATTATTATTATTTAATTTAGTGGGTGTGGCTTATATTTGAGTGCACTTAATAGTCCGGAAATTATGGTATGCACATGGAAATGGTGTTTCAGAGTTGCACAATTGTACTTTTTGTAAACAAGCTTCAGAATGGAAAAAAATATCTTCAAACAGCTAAAACCCAACCTTTTGAAAATGATGTCCCCTCTAATCTAACCTACGACTCAACGGCGTCCTCTTTTTTTTTTAGTGTGCTTACATTCACACCCAGCATCCAAGCGTCATGCCTTGCTTCCTGTTTTTGGTGCATGTTTACGGTGTCGTTCCAGCACCACATACACACCTGCTCCAGTTATTACCATACATTGGGTCATTTTTGGTGTTTCCATGTGGATCAAGGCATTTCTAGGCATAGTGCTGTATTTAAAAAAACAAAAATAAGATTGTTTGGGAAAAATTGCGTATCTGAGTAGACGAGGCTTTAAAGCAGTGGTCTCTAAAGTTGGGGGTGGGAGTGGCAGTAGGAGGGTCTTTAATTTTAAATGTAAAACCAATTGCAGATGGCATATTTTTGTGACTACTCCCGCAGGATGTAAAAGTAGACATAAATGTATTTAAATATGGGAAAATTGTTGATAAGGCTGTTTGTAATATTATAGCCTTTTTTAATGAGTTTATGACAAATATTTCTGTCCTTCAATAGTTGAGGCTAAGAAATGTTCATTTCTGTGGTCAAAAGGTGGAAACTCCATTTCAAACGAATTTTTTGTCTCCGTGTGCTTCTCGTTTAAGATAAAACATGTTGTGCTTCCTTCTAGTTTACAGATATTTAAAGTTGTAAATCCTCACAGACACAGTGGTACAAAACCCCAGCACCCACCAGTGATGCTGCAGAGGAGGCGGAGACAGGGAGTATTGTCGCCTTTGTAACCATTTGTAAGCCCCTCCCCTGAGAGTGGCGGAACTGGGATCGTCATGGTGATGGGCTTGTGAAACTTCCTTCTCCTAGGCTCCACGGTAACGATGGGGCTGAAGGTAGCTCTGTTACCGATCAGCTTCTGCACAGCGTCTTCAGGAATCGGCTGGGCCTGAAAAATCAAAATAAAACATTTACTGTATTTTCCACCGTACCTGTTGCATCAGTCCAAATATGCCTAATAAAGTGGAAAAAAAACATGTATATGTTGCTTCGCCGTATAATTTGCATCTATTATGCATCACCGCTGACATGTCGCGTTTGTTACGCATCACAACTGACAACCCAGAAACGTGGGCCCGTGTTGAGCCAAAAAAATCGTTTGGCTGCCAAATGGCAGCTGCGAGAGCGTGCACGGGAGGACTTTAACAAGAATTTAACAAGATTAACACTTTAAAACAATTATTTGTTTGCTTGAAATTACAGTAAAGGTGTGTCTCAGTTGATCTTTTACTTAAAAAATGCACTTTGACGGTCAAATCAGCTACATTTCAAAAGCCGATACGCGGAAGTGGGAGTGTGCAGAGGGACGACTCGCTGTGCTTTTCTTCGAAATTTTACAAGATAACCACCTAAAACAATTAACTGTTTGCTCGACATTATAGCAAAGACATGTCTCAGTTGATCTTTTACTTAAAAAATGCACTTTAATGGTCAAATCAGCTGCATTTCGCCGGGGCGGTGCAGCGAAATTAAGTTGATTTGACGGTTGCTCCAGGCATGATTGTTGTGGGTTGCAAGATTGAATTAAAGTAAAAAATACACAGACACGTGGATCAGCTTTAGTTCTCCTTCTTTACTTCCTTACTTTTGTTCTTCTCACCGTCACTCTCTGCATAGTACATTTTACAGTCTTAGACTGCCCTCTAGTGCCCTTTCTATGCAATAACAATCATACAGCAGAACACAACAACAATCCTGGAGCTGGACAAACGTGGCAGGCAAGTTGGTCGTTTCATTCATAGCCACTTTTACCTATTGCATGACACAACGGCATGCCATACTACTCGAGTGCCATCTAGCAGCATATTTCACTGTGTATTTAACAGAAGACATAAATTTTAAACATACCTGCAGCCCAACCTTGATTTTCTTGGTTAGCGCCCCCTCGGGGAAAGAAGCCTGAACCAATGGCACACTCCGGCTGCACAGAGTCCCGCCCTCTGGTCCCATCTGGTGGGTTTCCTGTCTGATCCGAGACACCATAGCAAAGTACTGCGGGAAGTCTTTGGTGATGATTCGGCAGATCCTTTTCTTCTCAAGCTCCTCAGGACTGTCCAGTTCTACAGTGAAGTGTTAATTTTGTAGAAGGTGGATCACACATTATTATGGTAAACATCAGACAGTCTTCACTCACTTCAGTTTATGCATGATGATGCCATTAATATGACTAAAGATCACATGTGCTTCACCTTCATCCATGCCGTTGAGGAGCTGACTGAGGTTGTCAGTCTTGCAGTCATAGACGTGCTCCTTCCAGGTTTCTCCGTTCTCACTGCGCAGCAGGATCAGCTCTCTCTCCTGGCCTCGCATCGAGCCAAAATGTGGGATCTCCACGATCACGGGCCTGTCAGGGAGAAAAATATAAGATTTAAATATATTTTTTATGAATAGTAACAAGTAAATCCAAACAATAACAAATCAAAAATACTACTCACTATTTGTCTTTAAAAATCTGCTTTAAGTGGATGGCGATCACATTTGATCTCTTTTCAATGTGAACATGTGCAAAATTAAATCTCAAACACAAACAATCACATATTTAAGTGGCAGCTCTTTAAACACACAAATAAAAAAACAATTTACAATGAAGCTTTACCATAAAATGGAGAAGAATGTTGTTGTAGATAACTATGTAAAGACTTATGGTTCTCCCAGCAATAACAGCTGCAACTGTGAAACTGGAGCTGCTGTGACGTTCAAAGTGAATGAAAACACTGAAATGCAGTGAAAGTGAAAAGGTGGTGGGAAAAAGCTGCACAGCCCTCAAACAAGGCACAGTAGCAACACAAGACAAACAGAATCACCGAAGAACAAAATGAGGATGTTCCTCAACTCAATCTGTTTCAAAGAAGATTTGGAAAATCAGAATCATGACAGAATTAATCTTCATATTAGGCATTTTTGACCAGTTCACATTGATTTGATCCATTTAAACTAAGCATGATAATTATAAACGGTTTTGACTTCTGAAGAAGTTAGGATATATGTTATAGTGTTACGGTATTTAAATGGAAAGTTTTTCCTAACACAAGGCAAATTACGATACTATGGTCTCTGCAGTTCTCCTCTTTTTATCTAACTTCAGCAAGAACCAGTGGGTGCAAGTGTCTAAAAGTATCCGGTTAATAAAAAAAGCTTTTTAACTCTACTAAGTGTGGACCTAGGACTTTAGTCTTTAGCTGATAATAAGTTTAAACTTTCAAAAAAAGTTAAAAAATATTTTCTTCATACCAATTTTACTCCCATTCTCCATTATATTATGCTTTCAGTGAAATAAAGGCACTTTTCTAATACTGTATTTGGTCAGATACTCACAGACAGGTGTGACATAGATTAGGAATACGATACAGAAATAATAAAACTGAATTAAATTTAACTTTAAATGCTACATAATGTTATTTATATGAGCTCAGATGAGAATCAGCACCTCCAAATCTGACACCATGGTCCTCAACCGGAAAAGGGTGGATTGCTCTCTTCAGGTCGAGGGTGAGGTTCTGCCTCAAGTGAAGGAGCTCAAGTATCTCGGGGTTTGTTCACGAGTGAGGGAAGAATGGAGCATGAGGTTGACAGACGGATTGGTGCAGCGTCTGCAGTATTGCGGACTCTGTGCCGGTCCGTTGTGGTGAAGAGGGAGCTAAACTGTAAGGCAAAGGTCTCCATTGGTCAGTCTACGTTCCTACCCTCATCTATGGTCACAAACTCTGGGTAGAGACTGAACAAATGAAATCATGGATACAGGTGGTTGAAATGAGTTTCCTCTGCAGGGTAGTTGGATTCTCCCTTAGAGATAGGGTGAGAAGTTAAGTTATCCAGAAGAGACTCAGAGTAGAACCACTACGCTTCTAATGAGAGGAGCCAGTTGAGGTGGTTGGGGCGTCTGGTAAGGATGCCCCCTGGGTGCCTCCCTAGGGAGGTGATTTGGGCATGTCCGACTGGGAGGAGACCCCGGGGAAGAGCCAGGACACTCTGGACAGACTACGTCTCTTGGTTGGCCTGGTAATGCCTTGGGGTTCCCCCCAGAAGAGCTGGAAGAGGTGGCTGTGGAAAGAGATGTCTGGACCTCCCTGCTCAAGCTGCTGCCCCTGTGACCAGACTTCAGAAGAAGCGAAAGATGATGGATGGATTAGCTTTCGAGATTGGGACTTCTGGAAAAATTACCCATAGTCTTTTCTGTATGCCTACCAGCTCATCTGTTTGCTGACAGACATCATTATTAATTCATCATGATTCATGTGCACTTTATTGCGGGGAAAGTGTTTAAAAAATACTGTGAGATGACACAAAACTGATGTTGGATATGAAGTAACAACAGTCATAAAAAGCAGGATGATGCTCGGCTAAAGAAGGAAACTGCTCATGCTCAAAAAGCGCAGTACAGTCCAAACAGCCAATCAAAACTTTTACATTCAGTGAAGCCAACTAAGCTTCTGAAATAAAAAAAAATATACAATGATGTTAATGGATTTCAAGCTACAATACATAGTTTTAGGAAGAATTTTACATACTTAAAAAAATCCTTCCCTTTAATGTTACTGAAGCTGTAATAAATCTACTTTGTAAACCCTTTTTGTACCTTGATTTCTTCCCAAAACTACTCGGCAACTATATCAAAGCTGGAACCTGAGAAATTCAACTCAACGGAGATGGGCAAAAAAATCCATCAGCATGAATCAGCCTTGGCCATGCTGTTTCCCTGGGGAGGGTGGGAGGTACAGCAGAAAGGGCTGAGGGGGGAGGAGCTACTGTATGTTTGGTTCATACCCAACAAATTTAGTTCCTCTGGGTCCCAGCTGTAGCACGGGACTAACCAGGCTCTCGCCTTCATTAAGGGCTGGCAGCTTTCTGGGAAGATGTAGTTTACTGTGTCCACAAAATAATGAAACAAACATTTATACAAAATATACACAATAACAGTTCAAGCTTTCTAGTGTTGTACCAGGTACATTTAGTTGTGGTGTACCACAGGGGTCTGTCCTCAGCCCCTTTCCATTTTTTATAAATGCTTCCTCTTGGCTTATACAAAACAATGGTGTATACTCTATTCTACGCAGATGACACTCAGGTCTACATACTGAAAGCCACAGATCCCTGCAGCCCTACTAATGTCACAGCTTGTCTTTCTAACCTTAAACTCTAGATAGCAAAGCATCTGCTTAATCTCATAAAGTCAAAGGTCTTCTCTTTGAATCCACAAATCTTGTTTGTCCCAATCTTAGTTTAACAAGTAGCATCACCCATTCTGTTAGGAATCCAGAATAACCATTTTAGTGTAATAGCAGAATATTTGCTTAAGTTGAACTTATTTTACCTAGCTCATGCATGATAAGTTCAAAAATAAAAGATTTTTCCCCAACTGTTGTTTATACACACTTTAGTCAACTTTCAGCTTGACTACTGTATTGCATTTTACTAGATTTCAGTTAATGGTTCCCTCAATCACCTTCATTTTGGTCAAAATGCCACAGTTATATTCACTGCCCGAGTGAAAATCATTGTCTTGTAAACCATAAAAACGCCACCATCATAAACAAGAAAATGGATTGAGAGCAATGACTGCTGCTTCAAAAAAAAAAAAAAAAGCTCAGATTGATATACCAGAGTCACTACAGGAAGCATGCCACATGTATCAGAAAGGAGAATTCTTCCATGAATACATCAGCTAAAATTAGCAAAGCAAAAGCGATGTAACATTGTGCAGAAAAAAAAACATAATAAAAAAAAATGGAAAAATGAAAACAAATAAATAGTGGTTAGTGTTTATGCATTTCCACCAAAGCTACAACAAAATAATCAGCCACGCCTCACAAAAGATTACATAAACTACAGTTAAGGGACAAAGCTCTGCTCAAGATGTGGCCATTATTTTTGCAATTATTGTTTTTATTAATGGTACTGAAAAAAAAAAGAATCTATGCTAAAGCACTTATCTAAAGATGCTTCAACGGCTTGGGCTGATTACTGTGAAACCCGGTTCTTTGACAACAGAGGGGTCTCTCTACAGGAACCACCTTGGCCTGACTAACTACAGAAGCTCCAATGAAACTACGCCTGTCCGAGTCAGACCAGCTCAGTCACGCTTTAGGCTCCGCCCACATATTTCCACAACCTACTCATTATTGCATTCTCCCTGTTAGAAACTACAACTCTGCACATTCAGGTAAGCTGCTTAAGTTAGGAAGAACAAAAAATGGTTTTGTTGTCTTGCTATATGAATGAACAATCAGGAAAAATTCCAAAAGTTTTCAACCCAATTGGTCACTTAGACCCTGGAAGGACAAAAAAATACTGCAATTTTCCTCTAAAATTATTTAAAACTAAAGGGTGAGAACAGGTTTGTCAAACGATGAATGGTTTGACACATTTTAGTGTTGCCGCATTTAATAGGACAAAAGAAATTGTGCGTTTAAAAGGTGAGCGCACATAAAATGAAACTTCACGTATTCCACATTTTCATGAATAATCGTAGATGGCTGCAAAGGGTGATGGCAAGAAGCAAAAAGAAGCTTTGAAACAAAGAAATGTGCAAAAAGCACAAACAGTATCACGTAAATTTATAAGTAAATGAAGTCTTACCCAAGAAACTGAGCTCCCGCCGGACCGACCTCGACCAGTCTGCTCGCCAGCCCTTCTCCTTCCACCATTGGAGGCGGGGATGCCAGTTTGTGCCTCTTGACCAGCCGACAAGTGATTCTGGTGGGCGCTGTGCACTTCCTAGGTGGGATGATGATGCGCATGCCGTTGTGACGACTTCCTCTCATGGAGCCCCCTCTGGCATCGACCATGAAGCTGACCAGGAACCTGATGGAGGCGAAATGAAGGAAGCAGCAGAAAGAGACGAGGTAAAGACAGGAGCATATAAAATTAAATTAGAAGTAAAACGTTGTTTTAGCTGAAGTGCTGATGAAGAGAGGAGTTTTAGTTAAGGTGAGGTCGCTTCCCATGCTGTGACTTCGTAAAACACCGACAAGCGAGAGAAAAAGAGAAAACAATAAGGTGAGCAGGATTCTGCGTTGGCTGCAACAGAGATTTAATTAAAGTGTGTTAAAAAAGAAAACAAGACTGACTAAAACAAAATATTGAATAAATTTTATAAATTGTTCTGTTACAGATGCCAACACAGGAGCCTTTGTTATTTTTGTGCGTTTTACCCACATACATTTAAATCACTTTTTCTATATCTCACTTAAATCAAAGAAGGAAATTATAATTCACACACACACAGATCCACACCATGCAGAATGGTACCTGAAATGACATGTTAGTTTGTACTGTACGTTGGGATTTGGAAAAATAGGAAAACATGGTCATACAACAGTAGGAATATTTCAACGACTGCCAGAAACATGTAAGACAATAACTTCCTCTTTTTTCTCAATTCTAAGCTTTTACATTGCAGTACAAAGTAAAAACAAATCATCTGGTATACAAAATATATTGAATTGTGGCTTTCTTTTTCTTTTCAGAAATCAGTTGCCAAAATGCAAAAACTGTATGTAAATCAACAAATTCCACCTTTAATGTTTTCTTGGGGCTAAATTACGGTGGCCGTGAGGTGTAAATGAACAACATTTGAAAAAACAGAATTACATTTAAAAAAAAAAACAACATTTGAAAAAAAAATGCAATTACATTAAGTCAAAGCAGAAGTGGCCAAAGCAGAAGTGGCCAGAATCACATTTGAAAAAAATGGGATTACATTTGAGGGGAAAAAAACAAAACAAAATTACATTTGAAAAAACAGAATTACATTAGAAAAAAACGGAATTACATTAAGCCAAAGCTGAAGTGGCCGAAGCAGATGTAGCCGAAATTACATTTGAAAAACAGAATCACATTTGAAAAAACGGAATTACATTTTTTTTTTTTTGGGGGGGGGGGGCAATTACGTTTGAAAAAAACGAAATTACATTAAGCCAAAGCTGAAGTGGTTGAAGCTGAAGTGGCCGAAATCACATTTGAAAATCAGATTCACATTTGAAAAAAAACTGAATTAACTTTGGAAAACAAGCTAACAAAAAACAGAATTACATTAGAAAAAAAATGGAATTACAGGTACATTAAGCAAAACTGGAAGTGGTGTGTATTTTTTATTTTTACTTTATTACCAACAAAAAATAGCTTAATGTAATTCCATTTTTTTTCCAAATGTAATTTTGTTTTTTCAAATGTAATTCCGTTTTTTCCCTCAAATGTAATTCCGTTTTTTTTCTTCAAATGTAATTCCGTTTTTTTTCTTCAAATGTAATTCCGGTTTTTTTCTTCAAATGTAATTCCTTTTTTCTTCCAAATGTAATTCCATTTTTTCAAATGTTGTTGTTTTTGCTGCGTTTTTTTCCCAATGTAATTCTGTTTTTTCAAATGTTGTTCATTTACACCTCATGGCTACCGAACTAAATTGCAGCCAGCAAATACAAACCAACTGGCACATCTATACAGCTACCCAATTATAAAGCAAGGTGGTGTAAGGCTGATGATTTGGGCTGGTAATACCAAAGTATTATTGCCAGGCAGCTGAAGCCTGGGTCATAAACTGAGACGAAAACGTCTGAAAAGGTAAATAATCAAGGTATTAACTTATTCAGAGCAGTTAAAGACTTCAAACAAAGAGAAACAAACTGAAAACAAGTGTTTGGGTTGGAGTGTGAAGCATCAGTTTGTGAGTGAGGGGAGCAAACACAGATGTTATGAGTGAACAGAGGGCAAGGTGTGATAGTGGTGTTGATAAAATAAGGCAACTAATCACGATCAAATCACCTGCTGTCGTACTGCGGGAGCGGAGAGGAAAAACTGCAACGCAGGAGGAACAGGTCAAAAAACAGAAACTACCGAGAGGAGCATCAGAGAGGAGTGAGAAATGCTCCCGTGTGTTTAAAGTAGTGGACTTTCTTCATCTTCAGAGCCTGAGGACCCAAAGGACTGATGTTCAATTAGTTGCACATTAACGAGGAAGCCTTTAGCTGGACGTTTAACTTTAGCTTGCAGCTACAGCTCCTTCATGCCTGCAGGTATCTGAGCCACGGGTGGTGTCCTCACTGCTGCAACGATTTGTCAAACGCAAAGACGCAGATTTTTTACATCAGAGGAACGAAAACCTAGACACATTTTTGTATTTTTTTAACAGCTTTGGTTTGATTCTAGTTGTACTACCGTAATTTCTGGACTATAAGCCGCTACTTTTTTCACACGCTTCGAACAATGTGGCTTATACAATGCTGCGGCTAATTTATGGATTTTATTTTATTTTTTTGATGGGCCAATGAGCTTCATGCCACCAAAACATTTATTTTCGTCACACCTGGGCGCTCACATAGCTGCTCAATAGACGTCTCTCTTGGGGGGTGGGTCCTCGTGACTCAGTTAGACTACCTGTATAAATAAAGGTAAAAAAAAAAATCTGACCAATGAAATTACCGAACAGGACACAGTAGACCATTGAATTTTTACTTCCTGGTAGGCTACTGTATTTTAATTATTTTTAGCCAGCCATGTTACAGGCACTGTTAAAAAACCCCCCCAATATTTACTGTACGTATTTGTGTATGTTCCCGGTATGTATTTAATTAAAAGTAAAAATATGTGTAAATTTCTCATGTTACAACGTGGACACCTGTGGCTTATACACAAGTGCGGCCTATATATGTAATTTTTATTTTTCCTTTTTAAATTTAGTGGGCGTGGCATATATTCAGGTGCACTCAATAGTCCGGAAATTACGGTAGTTATAATCTTGCTATAACAGAGTAACTGTGGAAATAATGTAAATACTATGTTTACAAGCAGACTGTTCAGAAAAGAAAAAGAGAAAGACAGACAAAACCAGCACTGCCACTTCATTTGTTCCATCTTCATCCATTCATCCTTGCAAAACAGACGTACCCGGAGTGGATGGGTGAGGAGACGAGGTTGACGTTATCCAGTGCATCTGCAGTCCAGCTGTACCTCCTCAGAGAGTCGTCGGCCTCCTTCGCCATGAACAAATGCTGCGAGGAGAAAACACGGTCACTGAATTCCTGCACTAATATCCAGACGCACAAAAATATTAATCACAAAAGACTTCAAGTGAACTTCAGATCTGTTAGTTTCTGTGTAAAGTTTTCTCTTCTCTGAGGAAGGAGAGGTTTTACACGTCGGGGTTATGGTTGAGTCACAAGATGGGATTTGTAAAAGGAAGCAGCTGTTTTTTAAAGTACAATAAAATAAAATAAATCTGGACATGCAGAATTTTACAACAGCTTGCATTTCAAACAACCTGTCGTCATTTAAAAAGCAGAAACGAATGGTGCAAAGGAAGCTTTATTGTTAAAATAGGAGGAAAACTTGTCTTGGAATTTAAAGCTAAATGAATGTTTTAATTAAAAAAGACTAACAAAATATTTAAATTAGGACAAAATCAGAGCAAAGGTATGCAGTTTCTGAGAAAAGACTTGAAATGGTGAAGCAATTTAATAATGCAGCGCTTAAAAAAAAGTTTATCAGGCCAAGCCGTGTAAGTTAACAGCAAAACAAAACAGATTATACACACACATATATACATATA